TGTAAGTCAGTCCTACGGAGAACTGAGACGAGTTTTAGGTTGTGACCTTCTGAAGCAACCAAGAATCGATCACTGGTATTTCCGACGACCGTTAGAGTGAACCAGCAAAGCAGTTGCTGAAACCTATCATCGTCACCCTACGAGGTCCAGAGTGGGTCCACTTGCAAACGCACGAGCGTGCGCAGGCGCGTGTCTGCCCATTAAGGAGGTTGCGGCGCGGATCGATAAAGGGCAGCAGTTTTGACATTCATTCCAATTCTCTCATAGGTTGGCGGCTTCCCGCTTAGTAGAGAGTCGGATTGGTAGCTCATTGTGTGTAATGTGACGAAACTCTGCTGAGATCGCGCGAAAGTCCAATAGAAGACATCTGAGTAGATCAGTCATTAGTAATTACCCTATTACCACCGGTCCCGTAAGACAGGTAGCTGGGAGTTTTCGGCATCGGGAGGGCTACCAACTACCATCTAACCGTAATTCAGTTTTGGACATGGCTCAAAACCTGCGCGAACAGGCACCATTCATGATTTACGGAAATACAACACCCGATTCATTTTAAATGAAAACGTGAGTCCTTATGAAGTAGTCAAAAAGATACGTAATAAATCCGCGTCTGGCTTAGGAGCGTGGGTCCCGTTGAACGAGCCGCCATCTGGGAGTTAGCGTCATTCGAGTATGAATCCGAAACCTCAAGCCAATAAACTTTTCCGTCTCGATAATCGCATTTTCTTATCCTGAGCCGTTTCCTGGGGCTCGCCCGTTCGCATCTACCAACAGAGGGAAGATGTGCCAAGGAAGGAGAAGGAGACCTGAATGACAATTTCGGAGTTTTTAGACGTCTTCAGTCGATCTGGATGGTCGGAGATTCGTGCTAGTGATTTCGGCCTTGTCAGGCTTGAAGGCCTGGCCGGTTCTCGCCAAATGCGCCGCAAACTGATAGTTAGCGTCACCCCTCCTCACTGCTGCAGCTGTCGCTGCTGCTTTGTGTTCGGCCATTCGCGTTTAGAGTAATCTCACAATATCTCTGACGTAGTTGCTTTGTCTGCAATTGCACCAGACCCCGTAAGCTACTCCGAGCGTGTCCTGTCGTGGCAGTTGGTCTTTCAGCCTCATGCTCTGGCGCCTGATGGTCGCATCAGGTCAGGGTGCAATTCCAACTCCGAGTGGTGTGAGAAGGCGGCTGATAGCTTGCGAGATGTTATCCACGTACGGAAGCGCACGCCAAGATGTAGGGCTGGTTGTATTTGGTCTTTGGTGTCGTCTGCGTATGCGCTGGTTAACAAAGTTGTGCGGTCGACCATTAGTTCTCAGTATCCGTCGAATACATTGTAATTCGGCATCCTTGTCTTCCGTTTCACTGCACTGCGTCTCGACACGCCACTATAGAGCCCTTACTCAACTGCGTTTGTGGCTGATCGGGTAGTTGCTGTTGACTCTCAGTACTTGGATCATATAAATCGTTTCCTGAACGCTTTAGTTTTTAGGTCACTACAATGCTTGCGACAGACGAGGAGGTCAAGGAATGATGACTGGCTGCTCTCTTCCTCTTCCATTGTGGATTGTGTATCCGGAAGATGATGCTGGACGTTCTTTGAATGTCACCACCTGACCCCGTTCGACGAGGATGAAAGTGTCATCTACATACCGAGCACGGAAATTCGGTCAGTAGTGTTGGAAGACCAGCAACTCTAACCGCTGTAGGACTGCTCCAGTTATGAGTCCCAAAATCGGAATACTCATTGGCGTGCCCTTCACCTGCTCGTAGATTGTTCGGTCGAACCTGAAGTACGTCTTGAGACAGAACTTCATAAGTTGGAGGATTTGGACGAGGCGATTCTCCGTTTCATCGTATCTGTTCTGTTGGAGTTATTCGGTGGTCTCGACTGCCAGATCCTGCGGAATAGAAATAAAACGAAGCGAGATATCAAAAGATACCATGACGTCTCTCTCCAGGAGACTTACCCCTTTAAAGTTTCTCAAAGAATTGTGTTGACGAGTTGGCAATGATGCCTGAATCATCTGTCAGAAAGTCAAGCCGTCGAAAAAGCTACTTCCAGTCCATAAGTTGGAGTGCGTTTAAGTGATACAATGGGTTAGAGAGGAGCGCTCTGTGGGAGACCATAGAATCGGACCAGCGCAGTTTCTTGCGCTCTCGCCGTGCGTCGATCAGTCAGCGTTATCGCACCTGAGTTCTCCATTTCCGATAATGTCGCATGGATTTTGCGTGCCAACGTTCTTATGGAGTTAGATTCGTATACGACATAGAACTTATCTAGCAAGTTTTTGGCTTTCTGAAGGTAGTCTGCTCTGTCCAATACGACAGTGGAACACCTCTTGTCCGCAGGCACGATGACGAGGTCTTTGTCGGCCCTGAGTTCCCTGAGGGCATCGCGGTCGACCTTAGGAATCGTTTCGCGCGGCCTATGGGCCATGAGGAGAGATGTCACTTAATGGCGGATATGCTTCTTCGTTCCGTCTGCATCTTCCGTCTGGCTGAGGATTGACTCTACTGATGCAACATTGTTAACAGGTTTGGCCTCAGTTGTGTCAAATGAAGCCTTATGTGCTAAAATCTGCATTTTTTTCTCCGACAATTCCTTTAACGACTGGTTGGACACCACTTTGTCGTTTTTGGATGATGCTGGATCAGGTAGCTTACGGAACATGCTCTCCAGTGTCCATGGGTTCGTTCGGCCACCCTCTGATGAAAAAGTTTTGTACCGTTCTCGTCCATGAACTCACAGCACCTCGTCTTCTCTTCCACCATTGTCTAACGGTATTTGTGAAACCTCGAATGGCAGCGTCATTTTGAGCTACTCCCTGGAACTCGCCTAACTGGCTTCTGTCGGCAAGATGTGTACCCCGCTAAGTTGCTAGATCAGTCAACTCAACTTTTCTATGACCAACTGGCCTTGTTTCAGATCTTTCAACTTTACGAGCTCAGTGTGGGGTATGCCTGGCTGCTGACGGCGCAGCGATTAACAGAGGCAGACGGCACCAGAATAAGAAGGGGTCTTGTTGTGCGCTGAACCCTGGTTTGCAGTCTTAGGTGGCACCGCCCACTGGCGCGACCAGAAGGTGCGCAGAAACGGTTAAGCCATGCGCGAGGGAGATAGTGGGACAGTAGTTTCAGCTGCTCTTGTGGGTTTGCGGGAGCAAGCTCGAGTGTTGTCCAGTTGGTGTTCGTTGCAGTACTGAAGAATGGCATGTTCAAATGGAGCGTACACGGCTGTGGTCGTCTGGATGCGCGTGTGTGCACATACTGCGATGGGGCGGACTGTACAGTGGGCGCGTCTCGATCGGTTGCTGGAAAGGCGAATGACCCTGGTGTAAAGGGGGGGGGAGGAGGGGGAATATTCCGGACAGCGCAGTGATGACTGTTGACTGAATACAACGACGGATAGGTACAAGATGGTCATTTCTGTCCCCTTGCCTTCGGCGGTACTCCTTCTCAAGGCATAATTGATGCCGCATGAGGGTGTGGGGACCTTGCTTCCAACACTGAAATTGGAGAGGTAGGGAATAGGAATGGGAAATTCCCGTATTACAAATGGTTTTCCGCTAACTACCAGGAGGACTGAGATTCTCGTGTCTTAACTGGAATGTTCACTGCAATGCGATCTAACTGCCCCTTGACATATGATTACCAAAAATAAGTCAGGCATATACTAAAGTCGTCAAAACGTCCGTTTTCAATCATCCACCATCAGGCCAGTACAATAACATACGCCTTAGCATAGAAGCGCAAAGTTGGGTTGACTAACCGCTGGGCCACCGCCTCTGTCGTCGCAATTATCCGCTGGCGGAGGAACGTGGAGTGCCTCGCCGGCACTTTACAGATTACTCGAAATGCTTGGTTGAGGTCTAACCGGTGGCCTCGGCCAACCAGGTGGGACACAGTTTCGCTAGAGACGACTTTTCCGGGGCAGGATGGTGTTCTCGCAGTTGCCTCATCTCCCAACCAATAAAACCACATTCATAGGAGTGAATGCAGGTGTAAATGTCCATATAAGTGGTCTGAAAGGGTAGCCTATCCTTATTACTAAGACGATGATGCGGAGTGCCTGAGGAAATCAGTCTTATCTTGACCGCAGGATACGTGCGCGCAATAGCAGAATTCATATCTGCACTCTTCCACGTCGTGTTAGAGCCACGAATCACCAAAATAACCCACTAGCATCCTCCCCCTCCCTCTGACAGAGGTGAATCATGGTTACCCCTTCCCTCTAGTCCGACCATGTTTCTACATCCTCCTACTCCTCCCATCACCACCATTCATTGGTTGTTTTCCAGCTTTGCTGCTCTACCAAGACGTATAGCATTGTATTTATGCGTAATAGAAAACGTACGCTTACCGACTCTCACTTCTTCAATGTTTACATGGGCAAAATCGCAGAACTTAAACCAGTTTATGGAACACAGACAGTTCAGACGTGTGATTCTTCCCTAAATAGGGGAACAGTCCAATGAGAGCCGGAGGGCATATAATAATGCAGAGGAATGGCTACACAGATGAGGCGAAAGTTCCGTTTTTTGGACAAGGATGAGGAGCAGGTTGATCTACAATGCCATAACTTCACTGCCTTTATTTACTCCCCACTCTGACACTTAAACCCCTGCATTCCCTGCTTTAACTACTGACATTTCAGAAGGTGGTAATCATCTGTCTACGCAGTCAGGCAAAGAAATTGGGCATGTGCCATTTGGCCTGCAGCGCGATCTCGCTACATCGGCTGAGTGAGAGGCTTCATCTACTTCTCACATCCCTCATCCTCTCACCCGATCATCTAAACAACGACGAACTTGCGCCATAAAACTCATATTTGGATACACTGTAGCGGTGTCACTTCCGCAACATTTTACACAGATCACAAACAAACACACATGCGCACATACAGAGCATAAATAAGTTTTCAACACATACCCTCCTAGTAAACACTGCTGTAACGTTTACTGATGGCCTATTTACGAAGCCACCTGTGCGCCTGCCTCTTACTGATCCAATGGAAGACTCGACGCGAGGAGGTCGTGAAAGAGGACAGGGGAGGGAAGACATGCAGAGGTCGGAATGGGATCAGAGCAACGATGAGTCCAGTAGTGTAACCAAGAGGGGAAAACAGACAAGGAATGTGGACGACCTGCTGACAGAGGTTGTCAAACCCTTCGGTTGGTGGCAATTTATTGTCACCATGTTGGCTGTCTGGTGCGACATTCCTGCTGCCATTTTTCCTGTCTACGGCAATTCAGTGCCCAAATTCCGCTGCGCTGCCGATCCGTCTGTTGAGGCTCTGCTTTTGAGGAACTCCAGCTCTCTCAACGTTCCAACTTACGTTTTTTCACCGAAAGGCCCTGCCACAATGATTGGCAATCAGTACATCCACGATTTTGACACAATAGCCGCATCGATTGGGCCCTGGCCGCGGAACAAGAACGCATCCGGTTTGGATGATACAGATGAAGAGTTGTACGGTTGCTATCGATACAAGCGGGACTGGGGCAAGATATCCAACGTCAGTCAGCTGATTGGTATGTCATCCCTTCCGCCCACAACGGAGTTGGAGACCTGCCAGGCGGGCTACGTGTATGAAGTCGATGAATTTCAGTATCCTTCCGGTATAGTTATTGAGTGGGACTTAGTCTGTGAAAAAGAGTGGCTTGCACCTCTAAGCACCTCAGTCTACATGCTGGGCATGGTGCCTGGTTTCTGGATTGGTGGCTGGTGCGCGGATGCCCTTGGTAGACGACCAACTGCCTTGGGCTTTCTGATTGCACAGATACTTTCTGGTCTTTTGTGCACCCTCGCACCTCATTTTGCCGTTTACGCAACTTTTCGATTTTTCCTCGGCATGACGACGGTTGCGCGATCGAATGTCCTACTCATCCTGCCTGTGGAACTGACTCTGGCGCGTTATCGATTCATCGTGACCTCATCAACCTGCATTGTCCAGAGTTTCATTAATCGTGCAATGACAGCTCTGGCTGCTTACTTTATACCTTACTGGCGATGGTTACATCTGGCAACTTTAGCTCCTCTGTTAATCGGCCTCCTTCAAGTATGCTATCTGCCCGAGTCTCCGCGTTGGCTGCTTGGCCAGGAGAAGTCCAAGGAGGCTGCTCTTGTTCTGTATAAGGGTTACCTCCTGAACCGCCGAGGTCTGAAATGTTGGCGAAAACCTCAGGGCAGGGTTCTCACATTGGAAGAGTTTGAGCAGTTTTTTGAGGATCCATGCCATACGGCCGAAAAACAGTCCACTGACAGCTCATACGACCTGGATGACTCTTCTGATGCTAGTCAGCGTCGTAAATCAACTAATGACTTCCGTTCCTTCTTCAGTCTGAGAACGGTCTGGAATGGGTTGCGTAAACCATACTCATCTATGCGCTTGGCCCGAATCAGTCTGATCGCCACCTTCCTATTCGCTGCTCAGACAGCCTGCCTTTATGGGGTCCTTCTTTATGCTCGCATAATCCGCAGTTATGTATACCTGGTGGCGCTTATAAACAACTTGACGGGCATTCCTGGCGCCATCCTCTCCTCCATTCTCTACGCCCGCATTCGGCATCGTAAGCGCCCGCTAATGACCGTCTACGCGTGCGCCTTTCTGGCCCTCGCGATTGGCGGCATCTATGCTTGGTTGTTCCCCCTCAGTAATGATGTTGTCCTCACCGTCTGCTCCAATCTCGGTCTGATACTTTCCACTGCCATCACCAACATGCTGCTCACCTATATTCCCGAACTTTATCCGTCTTGCATCCGGTCTCAGGGCTTGGGCAATGCCGCCGGCTTGGGACGAATCGGTGCGGCCTTCGGCACCTTCATTAACCAACTGGACATCGCCGTTGCCCATGGGGTGCCTCTGGTGTTCTACGCAGGTCTCCTTCTGCTAGCTCTGATTGCACTCATCTTCCTGCCTGACACGACGGGTGAGAATCTGCCGGACAAGATGGAACCGAAGGAGTTGGGTGATGATGAGGCGACTGACTAAAACAATACTCCTGTTTTCCGCACCTTGTCTGTACAGAGTATTTTCCCCTTCCTCAATGCCTAGCGAATTTCCACCTCTCCAGTTGATGTCTAACTCACAAATAAATTCGATTCTAGGGACTCTCGAACAGTTTGGCAAATAGTGTAGTGAATTCACGCTAGGTGACCAGACTGGTGAAACGTGATGGCCGAAACCCAAATGGTCGGTATGAGAAGCCTCAAACCTTGTGAATTTTAATTAATAGTCAGGTATGTTACTGACTAACCCCTGTTCTCCTGAAGAATATGTTTCAAGGTCATTTTATCAGCGGAAAGGTCTAAAATTTAAAAGGAAACCGAATCCGCGTCGTATTTTGGCGTTTCTGAATACTAATGGCTGTCTTGGGCCATGTCTACGTATTTGTGCATGTTTATCGAGCCGAAGACGATAATTTGAATGGATAGGTTTTGCCAAAATTGCCGCTGCCAACTTGCGACCGGATTCTTTTTCCGCTTACATCAGGTGAGACAACATCTGAATAAGCAAGTTCTGCTCAGACAGGCAGAAGTTCTTTCTTTAAAAACCCCACTTTAAAGCGTTATTCTATGACCTAAGAATCACTACCAGCGTTATCCCGTAACTTTCGATTATACCACGCCCGTAACTTCACGGCATATGTAAATGCCCCATAAAAAGCAGCAAAGAGTTAAGTCACTAACTGGTCGTTTAAGCTTTTTATTGGATGGTGAGATAGTTTTTTGCGATTTAGTTTCTACTGATGTCTAGTTCAGGAACGGACCGTGCACCTCCTTAGCTGTTGGATAAATATTTGGTCGGACGAGATAATGTGGGCCACCCATACTGTAGATGGTCTTGCGCTAAATTCCAGAGGGGGGATACCTGTTCCCCTGTCCTAATTTCAACCCTACCCCCCAAGCCCCAACTTCGTAACCCAAACCTTCATAAGCCTAACCCCAATGCGGGGGTCCATATTCCAACGTCCATCGGAGATTGAAAATTAGCAAAATAAATTCCGCTAAATTTTAGAGGGTGCCTATTCCCGTCTGCTCACTTCAACCCTAACCCCCCCCCCCCTATCTGCAACCCCAACACTAACCGTCCTGACCCTAGTCATCAAAAGCCTACACTTGCCCTCATAAGCCTCCTTACCCTAACACCAACCATGATCCTGGTCTTAACACTACTTCTAACCTAAATCGCCCTGGAATTTAGGGCAAGACAAGCCGTAATACGGAGATCCATATTGCCATGTTCAACCAAACATTTCAGCATTCATATGGGCGCCCTATGAAGAATTTATAACCGTAGACTGGCGCCTCGAGTTAAGAAAAGTTAAAGAAGACTGTTTAAAATAAAAGAGGAGTTGTCTTGATTGAGGTAAAAAGCTTGTGTACCAGGGAAATGTATAGACGGAGAAAATATTCTGATTTGTCCCCTGACTTTACTCTGGAAAAAAGATAAATGACATGCACCATCATTGGCAAAACAGTCCGGTGAAGCCCTTTTTGAAAGAAATAGGTTTTTTATTTGATAAAGAGCATATGCATCGCGGGCCTTGGTTATGGACACTCCTTCTCATCGACGGCTGGATTCCGTGATTAGGTGCCTGTACACATGTGATCCAGGCCAGCATTGAAATAATGACTAAAACCCGAGAACTCCTTACACGGACGGAAGTTTTCAAGGTCCGTCTTATTTGGAAAGGCTCGTTCACAACAAACTATAAACCCGCGTTCTTGGCAATCGATTAAGAACACGGAAGACCAAAACGTATCCAGTGGCATTTCAAGGAGGCTCTTACGTGCGGCGAATTGCACCATCGTCAGAAAACACACCAAATTACTGCGGAAGAAAAGTAATATTAATACCCAGGTAAAGGTATGCATAAGATCGCATCTGCTAGTTGTAGTCCCCTTCTTTAGTTACTGACCGACTTTTCGATATGTGTCCACAAGGAGAATTTTTGTTTCTTTTTCGCTTCAATTCATGAAACCAAGCGAACTTCACTTCGCCGCAATCAAACATAGCCCGAACAATGCAAGAACAAGTAGATTACGCCAACTCCTGTAAGAACAGTTTTGGAGCTATCATTAAACAGCAAATATTTTACTAGATTTCACAAGGCATATCACACTAATTCTTGAAGGATGTCAAGTTTGAGGATTGTCGAAATGTTTTTATGGTGACGTGCTTATGCAGCCTTATTCACTTATCTGCTCGCATAGACACGCATCATGAGTTTTTACGAGTCAGTTTGGTCAACTTTCGCGCCTTCTGCGTCTTCGCCACTCTCAAGAAAACGGTTATTTCTTACCAACATAATGTTCTACCACTAACGCCTCTCTTGGGCTTTTATCTAACAGACAGGCGCTTCTTGTTAATGGAATGTTTTAGTCGGTGGAATGGGACTGGCCTACGATTAGCCAGAAGTTTTTTTCGTGATTGCGCAAATATTGCGTGAGTTACGCCAGTTAGTGTACGTTTAAAAATATTTTGGGGCTAAGCGTCGGATGCGGATATAGCAGATGTCCCAAAGGTCTATCACCCACGCGGTGAGTTCACGCACCAGGCGTGCACTTTAGTCCTCTCGGCTAATGCTTATCAGGCCCCTAACGTTACTTATCAGGCTGTTAAGCCTGGTCAGGCCGAGTACGCCCTCGTTTCAGCGTGGACGCATAAGGCGGCTGCTTTTACCGTCAGTCGCCAGGCCCGCGCGCCTAGCCGTGGCACTCGATTGGCCAAAATCGATTACCCGAAATGGAGTCTGACAACAACGCAGCGGTGATAATAACGGCGGGGGGGGGGGGGGGGGCGAAATACGCTGAAGCATGGGCCAGCGCACTTATTTAAGTATAATTGGCGACAAGTGGGACCCTCACTTGTCGGTTGTCGGCACAAGGTTTAAAAAAACCGGCAGGCAGCGGCGGTAGCTTTTTCCTATTTTCACAAAGAGCATTAATGAAGAAGGAGACACGATCGCCGGGACAAGAGCTTTATTAGCCTGACGTTTCGGATTCCTACTCGAATCCATCATCAGAGACAAAAAAACAGAAACGGGTGGTTGTTGCACAAGGGACTGCGGTATTTATAGGATGCAGTAACCATGCTACCGCATACCTATGAACATTCATGGCTCCCCCCTTCATCCGGGATCGTCGCACTTGGTGTGATCATTGCTTGATGGCCGACATTCGAGTCGATAATTGCTGCAATTTCATCACGTGCGTTGGATGTTGGCGTGATGATTGCTCGACCATCTGACGCACCGACCCCGATTTTTGGAAAAGCGTTCACCTCTGCGCTCCCCGCATGGCTTGTTACCCCGCCTAGGCGAAGTTTCAGTACGGAGTATGGAATGGGAAGATCTTTGCACTTGTTGATGGACTGGGGGCCAGTAAACCATGATTCCAGTAGCTCTCGGCTCACTCGGTTGTCACCTCTTGCGAGAATTTCGGCCTCATCGAATTTAAGTGTGTGGCCGGATCTCGTCGAATGAGCCGCAACTTGAGAGCTGGCGTCATTTCTGCGCACTGCTGCCGCGTGTTCGGCCATTCTCGTTCGGAGCTGTCTTCCGGTTTCTCCGACGTAGTTGCTTTGTCCCCAACTGCACCAGATCCGATAAACGACTCCAGGCGTTCCTGGCCGTGGCAGCGGGTCTTTCGGTTTCATTACCAAACGCCTCATGGTTGCCTCCGGTCTGTGTGCAACTCCAACCCCAAGTGGCGCGAGAAGGCGGCCGACAGCTTCCGAAACGTTCTTGACATACGGAAGCGCCCGCCAATATTTGGTGTCCGTGCGGTTTGGCCTTTCGTCCCTTTTGCGTATGCATCGGTTGACGAAGTTGCGCGGGTAGCCATTGGCCTTGAATACTCGTCGGAGGAATTGGAGTTCGGCAATCTTGTCTTCCGGCTCACTGCAGTGCGTTTCGACACGCCGATAGAGCGTCCTTACACAACTGCGTTTGTGGCTGATTGGGTGATTACTGTTTAAGTTCAGTACTTGCATCGTATTAGTCGCTTTCCTGAACACTTTGGTCTTTAGTCCACCACAATCTTTGCCGCATACGAGGACATCCAGGATGGCCAGCTGGTTGTTCTCTTCCTCCTCCATCGTAAATTGAATGTCCGGGAAGACGGCGTTGAGATGTTCTTGGAATGTCAACACCTGATCCCGTTAGATGACGACGAAGGTATCATCCACATACCGGGCTCAGAATTTCGGTCTGTGGTGTTGGAAGACCAGCGACTCTAACCGTTGCAGGACCGCCTCGGCGATGAATCCCGAAATCGGCGACCCCATTGGTATGCCCTTCACCTGTTCGTAGATTGGCCCGTCGAACGTGAAGTACGTCCTGAGACAGACCTTCAGGAGCTGAAGAACTTGGGCGTGTCCAAGACGGTTCTCCGTTTCATCGTATTTGCTTTGTAGTAGCAGCCCAGTTGTCTCGATCGCCAGGTCCTGGGGAATAGAAGTAAAAAGGGATGTAACATCAAAAGATACCATGACCTCATTTGGATGGATGCTTACCCCTTTGAGTTTCTCCAGGAACTGTGCTGACGAAGAGACCGTGGTGTCTGACTCAGCGGTCAGGAGCTTGAGACGCCGCAACAGCCACTTAGCCAGTCCGTACGTTGGAGTCCCTTTGAGCGACACGATGGGTCGGAGAGGAGCGCCGTCTTTGTGCACCTTAGGGAGGCCATAGAATCGGGCCAAAGCCGTATCTTGGGGTCTCGCCATGCGTCTGTCGGTCGGTGTTATTGCACATGAGTTCCCCAAGGCCAACAACGTAGCATTAATTTCGCCTGTCAGCGCCTTTAAAGGGTTCGTTGCACATGGGACATAGAACTGTCGGTCCTCCAGTAAACCTTTGGCTTTTTGAAGGCAGTCTGTCCTGTCCAGTACAACTGTGGCGCGTCCTTTGTCCGCTGGCACGATGGCCAGGTCTTTGTCGGCCTTGAATTCTCTAAGCGCATCACGTTCGACCTTGGAAAGCACTTCCCGCGGCCTGTGGGCCATCAGGAGAGACGACACTTAGTGTCGGATGAGGCTCTTAGTCTCCTCCGTTGCCTCCGTCTGACAAAGGATTGATCCCACTGCTGCAATTATGTTAACAGGTTTGGCGTCAGTCGTGTTAAATGAAGCTTCGTGCCGTAAAACCTGCATCTGATCCTTCGTCAGCTCCTTTGATGACAGGTTGTGCACCAGTTTGTCGTTTCTCGGCGACGTTGGATTGGGCAGCTTTCGAAATTTGTTCTCCGGTGCTGCGTCGCGTATCATGCTCTGTTCGCGGGCTTGTTCAGCTATCCTCCGCAGGAGCAGATTCGTACCGATCTCACCCATGAACTCACAGCATCTGGTCTTTTCTTGGTGAATCCTTTGTTAAATTGTGAGACACACCTCCTAGTGTGTATCGCTTGTGAGGACTGCGGTTCAGCCTTCAGTGCGTCTCTGGCAAGTTCCTCTGCAAGCTTAACTCAAACGCAGGACTATCTTTCAGACGCTGGGACACTTCGGACGAAGGTGGGACAAATGTTAGTGACAGCGTCCTCATATCAGCAACTACTGTTATTAGTAGATTTGCGGTCAGTTTCTGTTCTAGCTAGAGGGCTATGCAACGCTTTCCTCTACGCCATGAATTACGAAATCGACACTGCATAGTATTCGTGCCGGATTTACTCCAGTCGGTGCATAAAATCTTGCCCACGGTTTTTTACAGGGCAACATTCGTCACAAGTAGGACTACGTAATGTGGGAAAACTATCTGCGGAAATCAGATGACATCCTCGGACGATAGCCTGCATAAATTGTTCCACAGTTCAATGCATCCTTGAAAGCCCTGTATTTCAGGTAGCCTGAAATGAAGAAATCAGATGAGATGTGATAAGTAGACCTAGATGGGCGCTCCATGGGCCCTTTTAACCGCCAGAGTCCCCGTTGAGGCGATCATGCACAATGTGCACGCAATCTGGAACGGCCCTCTCCTGTCGGTACCACACATGATCGCGTACCTCAAGATAGTCTAATGCGGGAAAGGCTTGTTTTTGTACCAGTTGACTGTATGACAGTTCGACCGTCGTTGCCAACGATGTCCACCGCGAGCCCCACAGCGAGCTGAGAGCAGGCATGACGACTTGCGCGTGATTTATTTTACAGGGAATGTGGACTTGCGCAGCATCTACCGCACCCTCTTCCCCTCCCACCTGGGCCCCGTTTCAAGACATAGTCAAGAAGAACAGAGATGGGGGAGGGCACAGGTGAATGGCTCGGTCGAACCCGCACCTTGGTGTTCCACTCCACACCTGGTCCACACAGCAAGCGAACAGGGTTTTGACCAACAACAAAAGGGGCTGGCGCGGCCGAGGCGGCACCTAGGCCTGCCGTTACACCTGGGTCGGATCCCACGGAGTAAGAGTGCCATAAAGGCCACCAGCCGGCCACTCCACTCCACACAAACACACAACACTGGGCCGACTGCGAGATCCAAGTTATCCCGTCAGTTTCCAACCTTCCAAGCCATGGCTTTTAGCGCACTGCGATAGTTTCAAGGGCGTCAGATTATTTATAATGAGGAAATTGCGCTGAGTCGTCGACCTCACACTCCCTTCCCATTCTCAAGCCCCTGTCACTGTTCGAGCCGGTCAGTTGATGGGTGCGGGGAATGGGCGTGGCTGCTGACATGTCTAGTGACCTTATCTGTGCGCGCCACATGCACGACCTGTCCCCCCAAGCACAAGCGCCAGGATTTCACACAACGCGGATTGGGTAGCGTACATCTAGCATATGTGAGAGAGCCGTAGGTCACGTTAAGAAGGAGCCGCTTCAGCCTGGCTCTCAGCCCACCAGTCCGCCACCCCACACATGCACACACACAAGTAGGCAGACTGCGTGGACTTAGTTGGGGCGTCAGCTAGCTGCCTTCCATGCCACGGCGCTTGACGCACCGTGAAGTTGATCGTACAAGTGCTCTAAAACAGATACAAACTAGCTGATTTTGATAGCAGTCTCACTGTAAAGAGTTTACCTTAATCCATTCCCCTTCAGCGATTGTCGTTTCATTTTGCAAGTTAGCTCCCATGTGCTACTTGTAAAACGAATAAAGCCCTACCCCGGGGTACTCACTCATTTAAAATTATGCTTTCGGTCTCGTAGATCCTCTCCCGCTCGGACGCCTATGGTCGATTAATTACAAAACTGGTCCAAATCATGACCTTCTAAGTATACTGACCTCGAGTTGTAACGATACGGCCCTGGTTGCCCATTTCCCCAAAAAGTGGGACAGAACATGCCCCCATCGGTAAAGAGAATACCCAGAAATTCGCCTATTGGTAAAAATCATGAAAAGAACATTTTCGGCCAGTCTACAATAACTGGACTGAAGTTCCTGTAGTCGAGCTGAGAGGTATGACAGAAAATGACATTTCTCGAGTATTCTGTGAATGACCTTCTTGGGAACATCATACTTCTGAGCCAGACGCGGATTTATTACGTATCTTTTTGACTACTTCATAAGGACTCACGTTTTCATTTTAAATGAATCGGGTGTTGTATTTCCGTAAATCGTGAATGGTGCCTGCTTTCGCAGTTTTTGAGTCATGTCCAAAAATGAATTACTAATGACTGACCTACTCAGATGTCTTCTATTGGACTTTCGCGCGCTCTCAGCAGAGTTTCGTCACATTACAAACAATGAGCTACCAATCCGACTCTCTCGTCGATGGTTGATTTTGTCGATTACGACTCCCCTCTGTTATCATCTGAATGGTGTTATCTGTCTGTATTTTGAGTACACTGGGCTACTAAGCGGGAAGCCGCTAACCTATGAGAGAATTGGAATTGACATCAAAACGGCTGCCCTTTATCGATCCGCGCCGCAACCTCCTTAATGGACAGACACGCGCCCACAAACGCTCGTGCGTGTGCAAGTGGATCCACTCTGGACCTCGTAGGATGACGATGATAGGTTTCAGCAACTGCTTTGCTGGTTCACTCTAAAGATCGTCAGAAATACCAGTGATCGAGCACGGGATCTTCTTGGTCGCTGTAGAAAGTGACAAACTAAAAACCGTCTCAATTCTCCGTAGGACTGACTTACATAGCCTCCCAAACGGGACATGAAAACAGGAACCGCCTGAAATGTGGGAGACTTTGAGCCAGCTTCTGGTGGGATTAGGACAAGAACTAGGGTTAGGTTAAGGATTAGGTTTAAGGCTAGATTTGAGATGAACGGTAAGGCAAGTCAGGATTAAATTTAGAGTTAAGGCAGGGGCTGGTATTAAGTGCAGAGTTAAGGTTTAGGGTAGGGTTAGAGTCGAGATTAGGGCAACGGTTTCGTTTTATACTAACTCTGTCGTTGGAGTTAGGACACAGGAATATCTTGCCCTTTCCGGAATTGTGCGCAGATCCACATTCATTACTTGGACGGGGAGTATATATTCATTTGCTCTATTTAGGGGGCCACATAAGTCAGTCCTACCCAGTTCTCTTCCAATGAAGACCGTTTGTCCGTTTAATTACATACAATAGATTACGGTCACGAGATACCATACTAGCAGTACAGGTACTCGCTAAAAGCCAAGACACGCGTATTTGGCCGATATTCTGCCGATGCGTGGCACAGCTGCGAAGGTTTCGGCACTTCAATGGGTCCCCTGCAATTCCCCGCTTGCTTTCTGGTAGATACTGCAGTTTACAAATCGTTGCTATTTAATTTCCTCAGAAATTAACTGCGAACTTGGAGTAGATCAGTGTATACCAAGGTCTATAGACGCAGACCGAAATCTGATGCATGAATATTTGGGCCGAAAACCATCAGCCACAGCGGGATTAACCGAGTGATCGTAATTATATGCAATATCCTTTCTTGAATGCAAACCTACAGGTATACGCCTTAGATTTCTAAATGAGTCAGTGGTTATGGGTATTTAATGCATGACCCAGAATTCAAGAACGAAACTCGGGAAGGAAATTAAGTGCCACGGGAAACAATATTTATTATTTTCGTACTCTGTTGATGCATAACTGTGACCCTTATGGACTATAGTGATCATACCTCACATGGCTCCCTCGTTCACAATAAAGGTCGAATCTGAATATATACACCGCGCAGCTCACACCGTCGCGAAGTACAAACGGCGTCACCACGCCGGGGGACCATCGTGGACCAGGCGGCACAAACCCTACCTAGCCACGGACGTACTCACCCTCCCCCCCCGCAAGGACGAGCAATATAAATGCTCACAATTTGCTGCACTCAAGTAGTCTCTGATGATGAACTCCAGTTCGAGTTCGAAAACTCAGGCAACTAAATCTACTGTTCCAGTGATCGTGCCTTCGCCTTCTTTTAAACAAGAACCTGGGATGCGCATATTCTCTTCGATTCGTGATACACATAACCCTCAAATTGGGCTTTGACGCAAGGCCGTCTCTAATGCGGGCATGGGGGAAAAGGGGGTTATGAGTGAGATTTTTAAAAGGGACAGATCATACGGTTGAAATTATACAACAAGCAACACAATCGTATTTACGTCGTATGCGAGTTTTAATGCGTTAAATGACTCAATTTAACTCCACACAGTATAAGCAACCAATAGGACGCCATGTGGCATCGTAAGGAAAATATTGCACCCCTATTTTCGGGAAAGGGTAAATTAACTAATTCGGGAACGGAATCGCCAATAAGTCCTCGATGACTTAAGATTGCATCCTCAAAACCCCTTTCGCCACCATTCCCATATTAGTGGTGGTCTTGCGCCAAAGGGCTTGAAGAGTGTGGGACAGTATTCATCGCCTACCCAGACAAAAGATGTAAGAGGCTGGCCTATCGAGACACACTCTTTGCGACTGACCGTTACACGCCGAAGCCGCAAGGTCTCTCCAGTTTAGGTCATCAATTCAGTGTCAAGTGCAGCTTGCTAGACTGACTGTTGACTAACGAGGCCCTACGCCGCCGATCGAAATGAGGAGCAAAACAGCTTTCACCTTGACTCTGACGAGGCCACATACGCCCAAAGTTAGACACATAGGCCAAGGAAACGCCCAAACTGCCGTTAGATTCGGTGTGTCGCGGCTACCGTCAATAGCACGAGGGGTCATCTTAATTTGCGTCAGCCCAGTCAGCGGAAGAGAAGTTGTACCCAAGACCTCTGTGACTGCAATGAACAGCAGGGCCAACTATCCAGAAGCCTACAGAATCTCTCAGTTTATTTACTTATTCTTCTCACCTCAAGCCCATAGCAGAAAAAAAACAGTCTTGATGTGGCTGATAAGATCGCTTACTCATAAATTCCTAGGCAGCCTGCCACTTATCTTTGTAGTCGCCTTAGGTCTTTAGTGCCGAGGATGACGGAAAAACGACTTTTACCGCCAAATCACTGAAGGTACAAGATTTTACTGCAGAGCCACGACGTTGCCCCACTGGCGCGTCCCCATTGGTCGATATCTCAGCTTCAGTGCGGACGGGACCCCATCACCGGTGTGTCACGTGATAGCCAAGAGACGCGCGACCTGTGAAGCGAACCTACCTTGTGGTGGTTCCCTGCCATCTGTGGCTCTCGGATGACGAGAACGATGCGTCGAGTTTGCAGCCGTCTTAGCAGGTCACTCCTTGATTTTTCTACTTAGAAGTGAATCAGTGATAAAAAATTGACAACCTGGCGAATTAGGAGACGGATGCTGATTTTCGCGGCCTCAGAACGAACTCAGACCCCACGGCCCCAAAAGTGCTTGAAAACTATGAGGGAATCTAATTGCAAGTAGGACAAAACCTTGGAAATGTTATGATACTTTGCTGACTTTTAGAGTTGAAAGCTCTGGCCACCGTGCTTCCCCTTATCCCAATATCTACTTCACACTCAAATAACTGTGGAGTTCTTCAAGGTTCCACTTGACCTCCTCACCTCCTTTCGTTTCAGACTTACGATCTGAAGTCGGCCATTGATTGCCTGCAAGTTAACTATGCTGACAATGTGGAAGTTGGCCATTCTATTTGAACCAGACCTATTTCCAGTCTCTGGAGGACGATTTGAACCATTACGGATAGAAGCGAACAGGCATGTTCCAAGTAGCAGTTCAGAAGACCAAGGTAAGATCACAGGAAAAAAGAAATTTGTTGGCCTGGCGTTTCGGATTCTCCCTCGAATCTCTTTATCTGCGAATGTCCCTGATGATGAATTCGTGTGAGAATCCGAAACGTCAGGCCAATAAATTTCTTGTTCCAGTGATCGCACCTTCGTCTTCTGGTTTGAACCATGCCCGTGCACGGTCGTTGGAAAAGCGTCTCCTACTTAATAACAAGTAAGTAGTTCAGTGTGTGTGTTTCAACTGAGACTATCTACCATTCGCGAATCCTTTGACATTCTTCCCAATTAAATCTCATCTTTCCTCTATCGGGGTATTTTTCTGTCCTCCAGCCTCTCATTCTCCCCCCATGTTGAAATCCTTTTTTTAATAGAAAACGTAAATTTGTTTATTTTATCCGACGCCTGAATTCCTACCGGATCCTTCAGTCCTTAATCTGGCGATTTATGGATGCGTGTATTCTTTCCACTCGTCATTTACTGTTCTGCGTTTAGTTATCCTGTTCTGCTAGAGAAGGATATGTTACTTTTAAGACGAGTCTTTCGAATGCTCTCTTCTGCTGTCAGCGTTTTTATGTCCCATTTTACAACAGCCAAGTAATTCGCTAGTCGAATTCTAAACGATGCTGCTCAACCCCTTCAATTTGAAGCAATTGCTACGAAGTCTTTTCGTCCCATACACTATGGTCTCCGGCATATCTCTTGACGTATATCGGCATATTAGCGATCAGTGTAACGGTTTTTGGCACGGTGTTTGGCGTGTAGCAAGATCGGAATTCAGAAACTCAAACTGCATTTGTCTGAATGGGGAACGTTGTTTTGGGATGGTAGACTCGAAATAAAGCGCATTCTCGCTCTTTGGTGATGACTAGACGTGCAACCCCACTGGGAACACAGAGCCCAGGGACTCCTGTAATGCGAGAAGAATATTACTATTGGTTTTATCAGTAGGCCGGATGGACACGACCTTTAACAGAATCCTTGAAAGGCACTGAGGGAATTGGCATTTCTGCCATTCAAGCACAAGTTGGCCGTGCCAAGATTGGACTCAAAGTCGGAGATAGCAACCCATGCCGCCCAAATGGGACACATCCTCAACTTTGACGCCGTTGAGATTGTGGGCCGAGTTGATGATCATACGGCAAAGCAGGTACAAGAAGCCTGGATGTTGACCGACTGTTCTGCCAACTGCCACACCAACTTGCCTCTCCCTCCAATCTGTTTTTACGGACATTCTTGACGGGGGACAGGCACGGCGCGGGACAATCAGGGCCGTCAACTATCGCCGCGGCGGACGAGGACGGGCGGGATTCAGGTCATGGTGACATGCAGGTCGGATGCAGCCACACAGGTGGCATTGGCGGGTCAAGCATCAAACAAAATGCGCCATATAAGGAAAGCTGTGTGCATGACTTCCCAGTCTGAGAAGATGGGTAGACGAAGCGACTACTCGAAACGTCAGACCTCCAATACACCTCTCCCGATGAACGCCTCCTTTTCGTTTGATGGTGAGCAGGTGACGACAATAACACAACTTTCAATTCACCTGGTGGTCGCTTACCATGGGGTCTCCAACGATGCTGTGGGCGAGTCCTCATCTCGGAGATGGCGAGGCAATGGTCGGTCCACCCGTCGGCATCCGCCATTGTCTTTGTCACCTGCACGTCCTGTCGGTCTCGCTTCCGGATGAGGACATAGTCCGACAGGTGCCAGTGTGGCGAGCGAGGATGCATCCAGGTGGCCTTCTCTTGCGTCGGAAGGAGGAAAAAGGTGTTGGTGAGGATGAGGAGGTGCTCTGCGCAGGTTCGCAGAGGAGCAGGCCATTGCCAGCGGAGCCGTCAAGACCACGGTGGCCCAACATTCCTCTCCAGGCAGCATGGCTTGTATCGACGCGGGCGTTGAAGTCACCAAGGACAATCAACTTATCCGTCTTTAGCACAGACGCCACGAAGGCGTGCAGGTCCCCGTATAATTTGTTCTTTGTCTCGTCAGGACTGGTCATCGGGGAGCGTAGACGCTGATGACGGTGGCGAATTCGCCTCCCCGAAGAGGCTGGCGGAGACTCATCGGACGATCACTGTTGCCCTGCGGCAGACAGGACAGTCGGCCCACGATGTCCTTCCGGAGGGCAAAGGGGATGTCCGCGTCTTATCGTTCTGCCCTGGGGCGGCCGCTCCAGAAGAAGGTGTAGCCGGCAACCACCTCCTCCAGTTGGCCTTGGTCGGAGAACCGGGCCTCGCAATGCCCACCTTGTAACGCGCCAGTTCCCGATCGACTAGCGCCGTCCCTTGTTCTGGTCGGTTGCTTCTTGGATTGTGTGAGAGGGAACGAATATCCCAGGCCACCAGATTGAGCAGACTCACCCTATTAGCCTGCGGGGTGGTTTGGGGTGACGGGAGGAGGAGTGAGAATAAATAAATATAGAAAGAAAGAAAGAAAGAGAGAGAGAGAGAGAGAGAGAGAGAGAGAGAGTATTGTTTCTTGTCTGATTGTTTCGACCTTGTGTTTTGTGTCTGCGCGCCACTATCAGCTGGCAGAGGGCGTGATCCCAGCAATTGTTTGGGGCACCTTTTCTAGCCCCGTCCCACTTGCGGGGATGAGCAGTGCTGTCCCAAAATAGGGCTGCTCAGACAACACAGACGACTGCCGGACTCCACCAAGGGCCACGACTTTGTTTAGTGGGAGAACGACCCGAGTTAGCCTGTTCCGCCTACGGGATCGCTGCCGATCTCGCTATAGGACTTTTGAGGGGAGGGAGAGAAGGGGAGATAGGGGAAGGGTAGAGAGACGGGAAGCAGAGTTTACCGCCCTCTCTAAGCTAATTGATTACTGACATTTAAGCAGTTAGCCGAAAAATTCAACAGAACGGTATGGAGCTTACAACAAGGACGAAAAGAGACAAGCTGACAAAGGCAAGCAAGCAGGAACAAGCAAAAAACAAAGACAGCGGAGCAATATTCGGCTTACCTGGAGGGTCACTTACTTTGTGGCCTCCAGCAGGGTTGCAGACGAAGTCTAATCTCGGAGATGCTGAGGCGGTGATCCGCCCGGCCGGCGATGGTGGGAGCGGAGATGCAGACGCGGATACCTTCACCTGATTTAGCCCACCGGTCGAGGAGGTTACCGGGGTGTGGCCGTTAGGCGGCTCCTAGCGTCGTGGATCCACAGATGAAAATGTTGTCCCAGTAAACGGACTCAAGGCGCAGTTTACACCTGCGTGCAAGTGAGCGACCTACTACGACCATCACGTGAGCCCACAACTGGCTACCCCTATACCCCGCATTTTACTCACCACGCAAATCGAAAACAATCCGCGGAAGACGGCTGCTACTGGCTACCGCATGTCAACTGCAGCCGCTGAATTTAACTTACAACATGCAAAACTGGGGGGGGTCTTGTTTTCTGACCGTTTTATGTCATTTTTCCATGTAAATTAAGAGGCTTGACTGAGTCATCCTGCAGGTTCAGAAAATTTGGTTTAACAGTGTTCCCAAGAATAGAAAGCCACTATGGCAGGCCTTCTATCAAAACTAATTTCCTTACGTATGAGTAGCAACCTAAGTATCTACCGAACTACAGTCCATAATAAAAGGCGTTACGGTGGACAATCCGCTCGCACTTATCACCTCCTGTCGGTGCTGTGTTAAGACAGCACAACCCTTGAGATAAAACCAGTGTAGAAGGTGAACGACATCATTCTTCTGCGCTTTCAAGGAAACTTGAAGCTCCAATGAGTGACCAACGTGATCAGAAACATCCATGTTTAAACTATGTGGCTGGACTCTGATATGATTAGAGCAACTCGGGGATTCAACAACGTTGACAAAAGGAACCACTGTCTTTTTTCTCGAACTTTCGAAACCTTTCCTGTTTCTGCGGTCTCCGAGTTACCGACAGCTTCGTGGACCGGCAGACATTTTTTTCGTCGGGTTTTGCTGCATATAACTGACATCAGTAAGCTTGCTTTCTGTTGTTAGGCCAACAATATGCATATATGCTGTGAGAACTGTTTAACTACTTACCGACTCTATATTCCTCTAACTTCAGTTTCTGTAATAGTGATCCCACTAAATTATCGGCCTTGTTAGCCAACTTCCGTCACGTCAACTGCTGCCTTGGTAGGACATGGGAAAGGTAGCCCCGTATGACAGGTGGTTCTGCACTAAATTCCAAGGGGATACCCATTCCTGTGCCATGATCCTAACTCTAACAGTAACTTTATTCTTAGCTCCGGTTCTAACCCTTACACTAACCTCAACACCGGTCCTAACCTGTCTGGGATTTAGTGCAGGCCACATATTTCCGTGTTGCGCCTTTTCCTTCCCCCGCCATTCTTAAGAAACCCGTTTTTTATTACAAATTTTACTAACGAGCCTGCTTATGAGCAAATTTTCCGAGAAACTGTCTGC